AAAAAAAAAAACACAAAAAGAAAGCAGGGAAATATAAAACCCGAGATAAAAAAAGAACAAACATCACTTAACATGCAGCCATCTTGCAGCCCCCCCCCAAAAAAAATTCAGGTTTTAAAGACCTTTCTCAAGGTTTTCAGAGACGAGCTAACCTCACTTGGAAGGGGGAATGACAGGACCCACAGCATATCCTTCCTGCCTGACTTGGTGGGACAGATATATGCAATTGGGAAAAGAGGATCCCTCAAATACTGTGGCCCATGACATGTAGGACTCTAAAGGTCAAAACCAGCACCTTGAATTGCACCTGGAAGCAAACTCTGGAACTGAGGTATTGTGTACCCTCTTAGGGACACATATATCTGTGCAGCCACATTCTGCACCAGCTGATGCTTCCAAATAGCCTTCAAGGGCAGGCACCTCGTACAGTCCATTATAGTACAGGTAGTCTTCGACTTATAATCACAATTGAGCCCAAAATTTCTCAAGTGCATCCCAAGTCCAGGCCTAAATCCCAACTGAAAGGAATCCAGATAATTTGCTTCATCCAGGGCTCTAAAGATGCTTCCTTCTTCACAATACTGGACAAAAAATGTCCAGTGTAGTAGGATCCAGTGATGGCTTCTTGAAGAGGAGGGCAAACCCTCCAAAACCCTCTTTCAAGGAATAATTAGCTATCATTAAGATCTAAACGTACAACACCTATTGGGCAGCCTTAACTAGCATGAGGACATGGATCTAAGGAGCAGGTAGCTAGCTCACTGTTCTAAGCATCTGGTCCACTTCCTCAGGTCCGACAGGATCAAACTGTTCCCAGATAATCAATCAAGACTCTACCTTATCATCTCCCCTGGACCTGTATCAAAGTTGGCATCCAACTTGGAATGGTTGTGAATGATTTTATCCCGCAGATGCTGTGCAAATGCCTCCGTCTGGCCTTGTAGACAGAAAGTCTTCTTTCTCTAGGAAAACGCAGGTCACCTTAAACAAAGTTGTTCTGTCTGAGGATCCAATAAGGTCAAAGACGTATTGCTGTTTCATTGCCCTTACTGCAGGGGTGTCCTACTCCTGTCATCATGGCGGTGTCATGTGATGCATTGGGAGTTTTTGCCGCCTTTGATAACAGACACCCTGGCCCCCTGCATCCAAACTCCACGGTGACGCATCGGCCAACGACTGACCTTCCTCCGAACAATAATTCTCCACAAGACGCTGAAACGCACCCAGAAGCTAACACAGGTGTAAGTGTCAGGTGTACCGCAGTATGTGGAGGTTCCTCCACCCCTCGCACATGCCATAAGATCTGCCTAGCCAAAGTCTATCCTGTGACACACCCAGAATAGGCCGTGAAGATGTATGTAATTCTGGACGGGTAAAGCACCAGGTTGTTAGCAAGGTCAGCATTTTTTTATCTCTTCGACGTCCAAAGCGAAGAGATAGAATTCGCAATATCAGAATGCACTGAGTCCCAGCGCATGGTGGGGAGGGAAGTCAATGGATTCTGCATAGAAGCATTAGACGGAAGCGCACAATTCCCATTGCCGCCATTACTAGAATGGGACAACCTACCAAACGATCACAACCAGATTGCAACACCAGAGTTAGCGAACAACATACCTCACCTGAAACACATAGCCAATCGCTTCCCCTCCCCACCCAGATCCTGACGCCAAAATCCAGCTACTGCTGGGAGCAGACGCCTCCGCAGCCTTTCTTCCACAGGAAGTAGTCGAGGCCCCAATGGATGCCCCATTCGCCCAGAAGACAAGACTCGGTTAGGTCATCTTTGGAGCAGTGTGCATAGATAGGCTACGGGTCCCAACCCAGGCGAGTGTCTTCACGACCACCATTCTTAGTAATAGGAGAGCACCTCAGTTGAAACCATGCCAAGAACACTTCACGACTTCCTTACTCAAGCCAGTTTTAGGAGCAATAGTGTTCCAGACCAGCAAAGAAGACAACGACTTGACCTTGTCGTTAGAGAACAAAGAATTTCTGAGGCTCATGGTCAAGGAATTCCAACAGGAGGCCACTAAGAATTGGATGGCTCCAATACCTTTTTGCATACCAAAGCAATGGTGTCCAAATAACCATGAGCAACCTCTCTCTCGCCTCTTCAATCTGAGACAAATCATAAACATGAAAGCTCATTTTGTGGAGTTCCTAGACCAGACAGTCCAGAACGGACATGTAGAACTCGCTCCACCTCTGAGAAATGATGAAGAATGTTGGTACCTACCATTCTTTAGAAAGTACCAGCCACAAGAGCCAGGCCAAGCTCGAGCAGTTTTCGATACCAGCGGGCAATCCCAAGGCCCCACTCTGAACAAAGTGCTGCTCACAGGGCCTGACCTCAACAACAGTCTGCTCAGTATGCTCAATCACTTCATAGCCATCCTGGAAAACATCCAGTAGATGTTTTATTTATTCCTTGTCAGAGAAAACCATCAAAGCTATCTATGTTTCATGTGATCCAGTGACAAACAGCACAACCAATGGAAGTAAGAATGGCAAATGTGGCATGCCCCCCTGAGTTGTCTCCAAAGTGATCCCATCCAGCACAAATACGTCCCCGTCTTGCCTATCGCCACAACAAAGGCAATAGCAGCCATAGGCTATATCAAGGTCTACGGCGGGGAGAACAACATTCACATCATCTACGGCGGGGAGAACAACATTCACATCAGTCTCATCATGGGAATGGTGAAACTAGCACCACAACTACCCGTCAACCAGTCCCAAGAACCAAGTCGCTTCAAACACCTCTCCGGACGGAAGCCTCTTGTGTTGGGTTATAGTAAGACCTGAAGGGGAAGGATAAACAGTTATTAATGATTACCAACTTATGTGTCCTACCAAGAATGAGGAAGAAATTTAACGGCTCTTTTGAGGCCACCATAGGCAAAGATTCCCAAGATCAGAAAATACTTTACTTCCAAAATACTGCACAATTATCTATATCGCAGCAAACCAGCCTTCTTTTACCTGGCGCCTTCAGGTTACAGTATGTTACATTGCAACTCCCATTAATTATGCCAATTATGAATAACTGTAGTTGTAATCCGGCACTGATGGAATCGGGGCTAGGACAGGGGTGTCAAACTTGCAATGACACATCATCGTGTGACGCATCGCAACTTTCCCCTCCCCCTTCACCCAAACGGAGGTGGGGGTGGCCAGCACGTGACACATTCGGCCCATGAGCTATGAGTTTAATACCACTGGGATAGGATATGCTTGAGTGGGACAAAATTACAAGTGCAAATCAGCACATTCCCCTGAGACTTTGTTTAATTTAATCTCAGCATGCTGAATGAGCCATAATAGTATGTTTCTTATATTGTGCTAAGCCAAAACCCAGTAAATCACATTATGGCTTATTATGATGTAAATAGGTCTTGGTGTTATATTGATTCTAAAACCAATAAGGAATCATATATATATCAACCCTGTGTGGCCTGTTGGCAATACATCATACATTAAGAAGCTATTTTCATATATTGATTAATACAAATCAATTTGGTTCTCTCTTTTTTTCTTTTTCTTTTTGCAAAATAACAATTCTCAGGGAGATAAAAATCAAATAAGAAATTCTCAGGAGTTACTTTCCCAGTTGAAGAACTGCATACATGTCCAAATTCATGCATATGAGATCAATGGAAGACCTTGCACATAGGCTTCAAGTTTAATTAAGCCAGAAAGCTATAAATTTGCACTAGAGAATACTGTTCTTTAACATCAAAAGCATGCTTTCTCACATTGCTATTTTAGCATCAGCCTTAGCTAATAATGATAGTTACTTTAAAGTCTAACCTCACTGATTTTATCATAGCTGAAAAGTTCTGCATGCTCTTGATTACTTCCTAGAGGTAGGCAGACTTATTCCAAGGTTTCTGGTTACTTGCAAATATTTTCTTGCAAAGTACTTACCCTGAGAACGATGATCAGCTTTTCAATCCAAGCAGCCCTTCATATTCATTCTTCGAAGCTTTCCATTTCTTTTCCAAAACCCAACTGATGTTTGCTACCCTCCTTGGCTTCTCTCATCCAGCAGATGGCTGTACTGAGTTTTTCAAACCCCAATGCTGTAAATTCGTCCAACGGTCCCAGGTTCACTCAATGCTTAAAACCCCAGAAGTGTTTGTTTCAGGGATCCACACTAATAAAATGAAGTTTGAATAGCCATGATTTGAGGCTGGTAAAAAACTCTGGCATGACTTTTTCATTAAGAAAAAAAGTAAT